CGACATCCGCAAAATCCTCGCAGCATGTACGCGCGTGTGCCTCAGGCGATGGCGCAATTTGTTCTAAAAATAGAATTATTGTCCCATATCATGAGGACAGCCCCAATACTAGAAATGGCGCGCGCTTACGGTCTCCGTCCCCGATTATGGCTCCTGTTTAGACTGAATTTTAGTATATCGAAATTGGTCTATTCAGGGAGTCATCGCACAAGTAATTTCAAAATCGGACAAGCGCGCAAATATTTAGAAGGAAGCCATTAAGGGCCCATTAACTGATCTTTTCAAGCCGTTGCTAAGGAAAACTTATTCTCATATAACCTCATCATTTTCAGCTAGTTCAGAGTTATTTCATGTGTTTTAACTTTTTCATGATCAGCAACACCAGTGATGACGTCATCAGGCCACGCCATTGGTCATGTGACTAATACTGAAAAAATGCAAAGGCTCCCGGGCAAATTACTTTGTCAGGATTTGTTTCATTGGTTTAATATTTTAAATTTAATCCTCATTACGCTATGCGTAGATTTTGTTTCACTTCTAAAAGGTCAGATTTTGAGAGAATTTCAAAATATTGAAAAATTCGTAATTTTCCCTAAAAAGCATGATTTCGAAAAATGAATGCATAGCTATGTTTCCAACGCTGGCTTTAATCGAAACGCGTCGAAAAAGGCTGGATTTAATGAAAAACCGCGCTTCCTTTACCATTTAAAGAGACCGGAAGTGCACCCGATATATATTGGAAGTTACCCTATCAGCGCGTGCGCAATTTACACTTCCAGCACACTTCGGTAAGATCAAACAAAGCGACCCGCAGTTAGTTTTTCTCCTTCTTTTGCTCTTGTTTTTCGGTTTTTCTCTTATTTTGTCTTTGCTCGTACTTTTTTTATTTTGCCGTTGTGAAACACAAAGAAAAAACATCTAAAATGTAAACGAATTTGCAAGCTATTGAGTTTTTTTTTATTTTCTGCGCTCAAGCTGACGTAACTAAGCGGAAGCGAAATTATCCAGTCACCACAAGTTGTAATTGGATATCTACAATTGGACACTCACGTGATCATTTGCTGATTACGTGACAAATAGGTACACGGAGATCCAATCACGATAGAGAATTTTGTTATAGATACGATTAGAACGAAAATAACTCTGAAAACTGATTCTCGTTACAACTGATATACGCGCGTGCTCGGAAAGGCTGGCGATTGTGACGACGATTTCGCGTCAACTCTAAAGAGCTCGGCATTTGAACCAGAAATGGACAGTTTAGTTTTTCAATGGCAAACCAACGACCTCTACTTGTCCTAACTCTTCTATTGTATCCTCTGCAATCAGCTAGTGTTAATTACGTTAAAATTGGCGGAATACTCTGCGACGAACTTAACTCAAATGAACTTTCGGCCTTCAATCTTGGCTTGGAATATGTTAACAATGATGCAACGTTGTTGCCGAACACCGTTCTCGTCCCTTTGATAAACAAAACTGACTGGACCGATGCATTCTCCAATATCGATGCAGCTTATTGGCAGATTCGCGGTGGAGCTGTTGCAATAGTTGGACCTACAACCTCATCTTCCGTAAAGGCCACGCATGCGCTATGCGCCGGCTTTCACATTCCACAAATAGCTCCTTACGCTACGGATCCTTCATTTGACTTCTCTGCTGACTCCTACAGTTACTTAGTACGCATGAGCAGCAGCGATGCGACTGAAAACCGTGCCCTGGCAGATTTTGTGTCGCATTTTAACTGGACGCGCATAGCGGTGTTGACATCAAGGAGTGATTTTGGTCTGAATGGTTTAGTCGTGTTCAAAGACATTGCTTCTCACAAGGGATGGACGCTGGTAGCCGTGGAAAGTTTTCAGGAATTTAGAATCGTATCCAAGATTAATGCCATGACACAGCTGCTCCACATTAGAAGTCGAGGAGCCAGGATAGTTGTTCTGAACTGCATGGCTGGAAGCATTCGTACCATTCTTCGGCAAGCTAGCGATCTTGGAATGGTTGAAGGATGGGTTTGGCTTGTCACCAATGGTGCATTTGCTTTCGACGGTCTTTATGAACAGGGACAGCCCATACCAGAGTATCTCCAAGGTATTGTGGGCATTAGGCATTCTTTTGGTGGAGGTACAGAATATCAAAACTTTGAAAACACGTGGAAAAAGAAAGGATATGAGGCAGCACCCCTGGAAAAAGACGCCACTGTGGGCCATACATTTGACTCAGTGTTGGTCCTGGCAACAGCAATTCATAACATGATTCAAGATGGCTACAACGTGACAATCACTGAGGGTTTAGAGTTTGGTGTGCTTAAAAACGGCTCGACTGCATTTAGCAAAATTGGAGAAACGCTGTTAGATTATATCACAAAAGTTAATACTTCCGGCGTGATGGATACCATAGTCTTCGATACCAATCGTTCTCCGCTCAGCGCGACATTTGACATTGTAAATCTGCGCCGATCTGGATTAGAGAAAGTAGGTAAATGGGATTCCATTAACGGGCTGGTCATGGAGGAGAAAAAGGAAATAATCTGGCCATCCGAGAAAACTTCTATTCCTAGTGACACATCAGTGTCTATGGAAAACCAAACTTTTACTATTGTCACTATTGAAGAAACACCTTTTATAACCAAGCAATCTTCGTCCATAAAATCAGACAAACTCGTACTAATGGGTTACTGCATTGATCTCCTTGAGAAACTTCAAGAAAAGCTGAAATTTTCTTACGAAGTCTATCTGGTACCAGACGGTAACTATGGCTCCCAAGATGCACTTACCAAAGAATGGAACGGCATAGTTAAAGAGATTATCGAAGAAAGGGCGGACATGGCTGTAGCGTCATTTACAATCAGCTCAGAACGACAAAAAGTCATTGACTTCACCCAGCCGTTCATGCATCTCGGACTAACGGCTCTCGTCAGGTCTGTCAATGATGAAGTGGATTTCTTCGCGTTTTTCAAGCCTTTTAAGGTCGACTTGTGGATAACGATAGCAGTGACCACTTTTCTGATCGGAGTTCTGCTGTGGTTCTTCGGCACATTCAGTCCGTTTGGATTTTATGGTAGATGCGTTCAGATTTCCCATTATAACGCACCACGGGAACATCAGAAGAGGAGACACACCCTTCGCCTAACTAAGTCACTGTGCTCATCTCTTGTGCACTACGTTGGACAAAGCGCGGACAGCTTGCATCCAGTGTCGGCTTCTGGAAGAATCACCGTAGCTGTTTGGTGGTTCGCAATTTTGATCATCATTTCAACGTATACCGCAAACTTAGCTGCGTTTCTCACAATTAAAAGGCTTTCTTCTCCAATAAACAGCATTGAAGATCTGGCAGGGCAGACCTCGACTCCCTACGGTACTGTCGCCAACAGTCAGCCACAGTCGTTCTTCGAAACGTCTTCCATCCCTAGCTTTGTCACCATGTGGCGGTACATGAAGTACCATCACACTCTTCTCAAGAATAGTCAAGTGGGGATCAAAAGGGTCAAACAAGGCAACTTTGCCCTCATAGGGGACTCCGTTGTCCTGGAACATACGACTCACACCGTCGAGTGTGGCACTCTGACGACCATCGGCAGCTTGTTTGGCGAGATGGGTTACGGCATTGGATTACCCAAAGATTCCCCGTACACTAAACAGCTTAGTCAAGCTATCCTAGAGCTGGGCCACGAGGGATACATGGACAGCCTTGAACAAAAGTGGTTCCATTCACAGAGGCATTGTGAAGAAGAACACGTTAGCGATGACCGTGGAATCCAGCTGGGGCTGGCAGACATGGTGGGTGTGTTTATCATTGTCTGCGTCGGAGTTGGAATCAGCTTCATCGTGCTTCTCATCGAATGCTCCGTAGCTTCGTGTTTAACTACAAAAGAGGACGATCCCGATGCGCCCAGAACGGCTTGGAACTCGTTGGATGCTAGACGCGGCAGCACGTGGCATGACTGGAGACATCGAGATGACGTCCCTGAAATGCCGCGGTTTATCAGTGGCTTGACACCAAACGACATGGGACGGTTCATGGCATTTTTAGCGCGACAACGACGCCGGAGAACAGTGTCGTCGGAGATGAACCCGGAGGTGGAGTTGGAATTAGAAAGTCTAGAGAGTTTTAATTAAAAGTGACATTAAACAAGAACAGGAAGAAATAATTGATTTCAACCTTAAAGATATAACCCAAAAAACACACTACCGCCAAAGTGCAACCGTTATTTTATTGTAATACGCTGTTATTTGAAAGTGGAAAATATCTTATAACGAATGATGTGTCAGTTGTAACATCTTAAAGACTAAACGAGGAATTGTAAAATTTTCTAGATCACTACCAGAAATAAATTTGTTTGGCGAGTCTCGCGTATTGTGTTGAGTTTCAACCTTAAGCATCGATTAAGCATCCGGATTACTTTTTCGAAGGTCCTACATCATGTACATCCAGGGTTTGACTTTGTAAATTGAAATGAAATGACGTCATTGTGTAGAAGACATCCCCAGTCAATTGATTCTGCCCTTGAGAATTAAATTGAAGCTGTCCACATTCAGAATAGAACTTAAAACTCTTAATTTTAGAGAAAGCAGTTTAGCATATCGAAACAAAGTACAGAAAGTAAAGCAATTATTTATGAATATAGAGAGCAGCTGAAAACATTGCAACTGCGGAAAATTCCAATCAATGTACCTTTGTAACCACAGGGAACAAATACAGTTTTTATTAGTGTTTGCTTGAAAGACATGTTGCTCGACACAACCTGTCAACAATATCTTGATTAATTCCACAAAGCGTCTCAATGAGCTTTTTAGTTGTTCCACAGTTGGAGAGATCAGAAAATGCAAGGTACGGTATATCAATTGAGACTGAAATGATCCAAAATTGCAAAACCTGATATAAATTGCCGAACTAACATAAAGCTGTAAATTGATTGGACAGTGAACAGTCGACAGAGCGAAGTAAGTTGAGCCAATTGAATTCCCCACTGCTGCTATAGCTACTCAAAACAAACTTTAATCTAATCCAGTCGACTCTTGTGCCGTGTAAACAGAATAATGCGCTTTCCAGCACGACAAAGCGTCAATCGTACACTAAATCTATCTTATCTACCACAATGCATAAAGCACTTTGATTCATTTGAGGTGTTTTATTTGCACAGAAGTTGTCTAAAATGGGGATCCAGCTCAATTTGATTGGTCTTTTTCGTGACACATCAATAAATCAAGGACTTCTTTTTAAAATACACGTCAAATCCCGCAGCTGAAAAGATAAGCAATCCTCCCAGAAACATCAGCGTCTTAATTCACGGTGCATATTGATGAAGCCATGGCGAATATGGAGAAAGAATTACCATAAAGCCTAGCATTTGCGACCGGGCGCACGAAAGAACATTGCGAATCTAAATCTTAATCTTCATCTGAAGTTAAAAAAATGGCCAGTTCAAAGCAAAACAGCTCGTTCTCGCCTTGTAAACAGATTAACCATAACTCCAATTCGTCTCATTTTGTCGCCATATTCGATTGTTTTCACAATATGAGATCAAATATGGAACTCTGCGATGTCACTTTGACAGTAGGCAATGTAAGTTTTTCAGCCCACCGGTTAGTTCTCGCGGGTAATTCGCCGTATTTTCGAAACATTTTTGTTTCGGAAAACGCCGGCTCACGCCACCAAGAGGTCAACTTACCGAGCAATTTTCGAGGAGACGCGTTGCGCACGATTTTGGATTATTTCTATTCTGGAAAGCTGTCCATCAATCAAGAAGACTGTGAAGAGTTACTATCGCTGGCCTCGCTCTTGCAGGTTTGCAACAATTTTTCTTCAATTCAAAGCATTATTTTTAGGATCTGTAAGATAATTTTTTTTTCACGAATATATTACCTCCGATCATGGCTGTTATCAGTACGCTAGTAGAGACAATCTGTTATGTGCAGCAACAGGGACAATCTGTTAGATTCATATTTCGTTTCTATACCGAGCTAAAAATTAAGCAGAAAATATGTTCAGGGCAATTCCAAAAAAAATCTTTTTTCCTGCTTCAATATTTGCGTTACGCTAAAATATATTGCTTGTCAGTTTGTTCGTGATTTATTCAAACCCTATCGTTCGACGGAGACCGGCTTGTTTCAGACTGAAAAAAAAAAAAAAAATAGGAAATTGCTTTTAATTACTTTGTGTTATTACCTCGTGTTTAAATAATTATACAATGCAATTTTTGGTTAAATAGTAAGGATATAATTATGACTATTTATTTCTCCTTTAATGCGACTTTTTTCACTTTCTTGGGCGCTAAAGAGGGGCTGAACATAATTTAATAACGTGATGAAGAAAATTCACTCGGATTTGTTTCACAGCACCTTTAGACGCCTCCATTTCGTTCTAAATATTTTTCTTTGATTGCACTTTCAGACTTCCTATAAGTAACCATGCTCTTGGGCGAATTTCATTACAAAACTTGATTTTCAAAATCGCATCTGATATCAAAATATGACTGATGGCAACGGGTGTCTTTATTAAGCTATTCGACTGACTGTCTCTCTTGTCAATATTATGATGCAGTTTTGTCCCTATATTTCGAAAAGCTGGTACATCTGTCAGTGGTTCTATTAATTTAGTAAACCTATGATGGTAACCACTGAGGTCCTCTAACATATTACTCAAAACCATAATAGAAGTCATATAGGCCAATCCATCTATTTCACCGACTGAATGAATAATCATAGTCATTAGTATGCTAATGCAAGTGCTGCTCTAATCTGATTTGCTGAGCTATCGTAAAATATCGGCCATTAGTGTATACCACACACGTAAATAGTGCTTTTCGTGCATTTTGATTGGTCAACTCGGAGGTCATTTTAGCAAATTGCTGTTCATCTCAAAGCAGAGAGCATGAAATTTCCGAGAATTTGTCGGTTTAATGTAACGAATAAAATACTTTCTTGGTCAGCCAGGTATTCAGCTTGTGTGCTATATACACCTCATCTTTTACCGTGGTGAAAGCGGTGGATATATATTAAGCCGCCAACTGGTGAGGTAAATATTTTCACCTCCACCTCGGTGAATATATACTTCAGTGAAAAATGTTAATTATAGCACCCAAATTCGCAATTAGCCAAACGGACGACGCGACTGCCATCCTAATAGTCTGCGATATTAAGTCACTGACCCGATAAAGCTAGAATGTCATGGTTAATGGTAGTGATTGCACCATTTTGCTAATGCTAGCTCCAGTCCCCTGCGGGGGGCAAAATTTGACCTGTTTAATGAATTAATGAGGCCATTTTTGGCCGAGTGATCACTTCTTGCCCCCACAAGGGAATGGAACTAGGAAATATTTGCATTAGCAAAATGGCGTAATCCCTGAGGCAAATAAAAACGAGGTTTTATAAGTAGAATATTAAGTTCGCACTTAAACATTGAGCGCTTGTTTTCGGGGCTTAAAAAGTGTCCAAATTTTCACGCCAAAAACTAAATTCCTCGCTCGCGCTACATAGCTGGAACGCCTGACAGATTACGTAACTAGAAAAATATCTCCCTAACTTTATTAAACTTTATCGAATCGCACCTTTTTGGTACCCCTGAATACTATTAAGACCTTCAACATCATAGTGCGTTAATTTCTTGCAGATAGAAGCAATTGTTGACGAGCTTCAGGAATTTATCCTCTCAAACCTTCACGCTTCTAACTGTCTGAGGTTTCAAAGCCTTGCACACAAACTAAAGCAGAGAAATTTCAAAGCTAAAATCGATCGTTTCGTAGACTGGAATTTCAAGAGTTTGGTCAAAGAGCCTGACTTTCTGGCGATGTCCGCTGAACACCTTATTGAAGTTATCAGAAGCGAAAATCTGCGAGTCAAACGCGAGGAGACTGTGTACGAAGCAGTGTACAGGTGGTTTAGGCAGGACACAAGTGGACGGTAAGGAGAGATTCTGAAACTGTTGGTTATACGTATTTTGAAAAAAAANGAATGAATAGACTGAATGAATGAATAGTACATAGATTGCATTCAGCTAATTCAGTTTCTGTTTCTGTTGAGCCAAACATGTCTATAAGCAAGATCGACCAAGCGCAGAAATAAACTCGGTGAGTGTTTTACTAAAAAAAAAAAAAAAAAAAAAACTTCGTTAATAATACCATTATTAATATATGACTGGTGTTTGTAGGCGATGTAACGAAGGTTCTGATTGGCTGCTTCCAGGGTATTATTCTCCCCTAATGCTCACGTGCCGATCACTGGCCGTGCAAAAACAAAGCTACGAACCACAAGACCAGATATGATTTACCACTACAAAGTATTTTTATGAGGAATTTCATAAATTACCAATACCAACAAACATCAATGAACTCATAGATATGGTCAAGAAGTCAGTGTTCAAAACCTGAAAAGCAACTCTCCAACAAAATTAATCAATATACTTTTGGTATTTTTAGTGTTTGATTTTCCTAAACAACACATAAGGTTTAACTCGTGTGTTCTTCTACATGACTTTAACGGTTTAAGTGAAAAATGATGCGCAAGTTACAGGGGCTGTAAATCCATTCTGAAATAGAAGCAGGTAGCCTTCCAGACGTCTGCACATCTCTACGAGGTCTTTTTGGTGTTCAAATGTCACACCAAGTGACCCATGCAATGTCCTTTCAGTTATTGACCAAGTTTGTTCGGTAAAGATTGCTGAATATTCGCCAAATTCTTTTTTTGTGTGTTTATGGACCCAGAGCAGTCCAGGTCCATAAACATGCAGGTAAACACGTAAAAAAGGAAAGTTTGGTCAATGAAGACTTTTTTATATGGCATAACCAACAGACATAATACCATTTCTTGCGGGAGACAGCGGGTAATCCCGAGCGGGCAAAATAGCTCAACTTGCCTGGTTGAATAGCTATTCACAGCTCAGAGGGGGGGCCAAGGGTAATTTCGTGACGCCGTGATCCGGTTTTTTTTTTTTGTGCTCTGTGAATCCTGATTTGATAAAAAAAAAAAAAATCTGTTCCGTGAATCGTGATTGAAGTGTATTCCGTGAGGCGTGAAATGCAAAAGTCCTTGGCTGTGAATCGTGAATAGACAAGAAATAAATCGTGAATGTCTAAAGTTGAGTTCGTAGCTGAATTTCACTGCATTGTGATAAGATTTTTTCCGTGACCTTAGTGATTCGTGAAATCGAAAATTTACTATCGTGACTTCGTGACAAGACCCTCCCTTGCTCCCCCCCCCCCCCCCCCCCCCCCCCCCCCCCCC